TTTTGCTGGGGCTTGTCATCCTTTGCCTCTATTAAGGGAAGGTCAGGGGCACTTGTCACTGGGTTTATGCTAAAGAAGTCCTTGGGGACGCTGTTTACAATACTGCACGGTGACCTTCTCAGAAGGACTCCAGAGAGATCTGTCAGCCACCTTTCCACGGGCAGGGGCCTGTGCATAGTCCAGTTTCCTCTTACAAATACACGAAGCATCTAACAATTGGGGTTTTCTTGTCTCACCAGCTCTGAGAAAGTAAGGACAACTTTATGGCAGGAATTTCTGTACTGGTTTCACTCTTGCCCCATTTTATGGCTCTTCCCCTTGTTTTCCTCTGTTAAATCATACTCTGCCCCATTGAACGCATTATTAGTAATAGTAATAATCCACCAGGCACACAGCAGTCCAGGTTTGGGTTAGGTACTTTACATAAACTGCAGTAATGATCACCCCAACTCTATGAGGCAGACACCACCCCGACGGAGAGATAAAGAATCTGGTTGCAGGAAGAGGATGGGACTCGCCCGCAGGACCTGGGGAGGGCGGCAGGAACACTGGGACTGGAGCCATGTTGTCACATAACTGATGTGCTCTCCTAGTATATGAGCCATTACTGTGTACCTCATAAATCCTTTGAGGAACAAGGCGTAGAGCAAATACATTAATGATGTCTCCCCTGGCTAGTTCTCTTATGGACCTGGTGGCACTATGATGGTGGCGTCTGCTGCTTCATAACCCTGAAAGGGTCCCAGGACACCTTGACCAATGACCCCGGGATAAAATGAGGAAGAGACCAGAGAACAGCAAATGCACAGTGAATTCTGCTCCTGGGGCTAAAAACAAAATTTTGTGGTCATCAGCTGCCTTTCTTCATCCCTCAACACACACACACACACACACACACACACACACATACACACACACACACAAACATGGCCTCCTTCACTCCCTCCAGGCCCAGAAGCAGTGCCTGGACTGTGGGGCTAAGCACCTGTAGCACTGCCCTGTGCTTGCAAATAGGACCCAGCCCTACTTCTTCTTTGTGTGCCCCAGTCTTCTCATCTGTACAGTGGTGTCTTAGTCACTCTCCTCGTTGCTAGGATAATACCTGACACAATTTAGAGGAGGAGAGGTTTATCTTGGCTCATGGTTACAGCTCATGGTCGGGTGGCTCAAAGGTGCAAAGGTCATGATGGATGGGTCGGGGCAGAGGAAAAGCTGCTCACTCCATGGTCGCCAAGAAGCAGAGAGAGAAGGAGGAGCCGGGGAGGGAGATGACCCTCCTAGATGCCCCCCGAGTGATCTGCCTCCTGAGACCAGGCCCCACCTCCCACAGCACACTCAACTACAATTAACCAACTGATGAGCGCAGTGCCCAGTAATCCCAGCACCTTCCCAACACTCGGAGCTGGGGGCGGCGTCCCGGACCTAAGCACAGCAGATGGGCTCGGTGATAACACTAACCCTCCTCCTGGAGAGACAGGAGAGTGTGCTACTGAAGAGCACGGAGCTGAACAGTCTTGGTTGAATCCAGCCTTTCACACGCTCTTGAAAAGATTCTGAGTGAGTTACTTGACCTCTGGATCAGTTCTTCATCTGTAAATTGGAAAGATGGTAGCTACTACTGCAAAGGAATACAAGGCATAAAATAAAGTCATAGGTATCAAACCATTTAAATTACGCCTGACACAGAGTAAGCACCATATCCAGTGCTAACTATTACGATGATGATGATAATGATGATGATGATAATTACCATGCAAGGTGACTGACAATGGACGTGAGCTATTCTCCTCCCTGATTACCACACTCTGCAGAACCTGAGTCTCTTTCCCAGAGGGCCAGGGCAGGAACTCTGTGACTACCTCTTTGCACGGAAAATCCAGCCCAAATCCTCCCAGCCCTCCATCCTTGCCAAGCAAGAAGGAAGGGCCGGAGGAGGAAGACAGCGCAAACCATCCCAGGTACAGCAAGGCGGGAGGCCAGCCCAGGACCAACAGAACCACATTCTTTGACTTCCAACCTAAATGCACCCCAAGCTGAGCCCTAAGGTCCAAGTAGAGACAAACTAGCCGCAGGAACTAGTGACGGAGGACGTGGCTGTTCTGTACACCCACGGGAACGGCTGGAGACCCTCCTTTCCTCCAGCAGCGGAGGCCAGGCTGGCTCTCCAGGAGGGGCTGCCTACTTCGCTCCTGCTCTTCCTCCTGTGCCTCGGTCCCCTATCATGACACCTTTGGGCACTGAAAAGTGGCTCAGCAAATTAGAGATGAGGTCAGAAATAGAGTCAGGAATATTTATTAAGAAGAATTTCTGTAAAGAGAAAAAAAACCAGAGAAGTAGAAGCAGGTAGAATAAGAGAGGAGGAGTTCGTGGTTTCAGGTCAAGAACAAGTATGACAGAAAAAATAAAGCTAGGACTCAAGAAGCAGAAACTCATATCATGCTTGTTATTTAACTTTCATTTTTAAAGTTTTTTTAAAAATTTAACTGTTACTAAAAAAACCATAGAAGTTATATGTGTTAACGAGGTCCCATGTAGTGTTCAATGTGTGTATGCGCTGTGTACTATTTAAATCAGGTTCAAATATTTATCTCCTCAAATGCTCATCAATTCTTTGTTACTCAGCCTTTATTAAATGCTCATTGTATACACGCGCCACCTCAGTCTTTGAAGAAAAGGTAGATACTAGTGATCCTGATCAATTTATAGGTGAAGAAATGACAGTTTCCAGAGATGGAAGGCTTGCAGTCTTCTTACTGTGTCCAACGTGAATCAGGAAAGACTACAGAAGATTCAGAAAAGATTCATAAAAATAAAGAAGGGATCTGAAATTTTATTTCTTTTTGAGACAGGGTCTCGCTGTGCAGTTCAGGCTGGCCTTGAGCTCACTTTGTAGCCCAGGCTGGTCTCGAACTCACAACGATTCTCCTGCCTCCACCTCCCCAGTGCTGGGATTACAGGTGTGCGCCACTATGCCTGGCTAGGGATCTAAAATTTGAGATGTTGTCAAGAATTTTAAGACCTAGAATTGTTTAGCGTAGGAGTAGGGACAGTAAGTGGGGAGCGTTGAAATGACGCCATGGCCCCTTTTCTATCATCCTGGAACGTCTCTGGCTAAGGAAACCAATCCCACTCTCCATCCAAGAGGGGCTGCTCAAGTGTTCAGCCAATGAGCACCACCGTCCTCCACATCTCCCACAATGATTGCTTCAGTCGTGCAGTACAAGAACCAATTTGATTCAATGAGTCATTAAGTTATATTTTCTGAATTTCTTTCTGAGAAATGCCTGTTCCCTTCCATGGGAGTTCCCCCCAAAACGGGCCTCTGAGCCTGAATTAAGAAGCTTGTGGTTCTGAATGGCAATAACTGGTTGCCTTCAAATATACACTCTCCCTATCTTCCTGAGAATAAGAATAATTCAATTTCCAACTGGGCACATTTGAGCCCGACAAAGGATTCTAATTCCCACCCATTCGTACAGCTACCCTGCATGACTAAGTACCAGCCAACGAGTTGTAAGAGACAAGGATGTGTAGTACTTTCTGGGAGTCTCCTCAAAAGTGAGGAAGCAAGGTGTTCTCTGCCCCTTCCTTCTGCCTGGAATGCAAATGCAGGGGCTGGAACTCCCGCAGTCCTTTGGACCTTGGGGTGACCTGAAGATGCCCTAAAATGTTTAGCACCAAGTTAAACATGTAGGTCTAGAGAAGGTGAAACCACTATGCCAGCCCTGGACTGCCTGTCTCTGGATTTATTTTACATGGAAGAGAAATATACTTGTCTTGTTACAGCCACTATCATGATGTGTTTTCCATCACACAGACTAAACTCAATTCTGACAGATAGACCCAGACTTCTGCTGACAGCGATCTTCCAGCAACAAAGGAAGCCAGACTTGGGATAAAGCTGACACCATAGTAGCAGAGAAGAAGCAAAAAGAAACCAAGTCTCAGTTGGATATGATGACACCTGTAGGCTCAGCTACTCTAGAGGCTGAAGCAGGAGGATTGCTTGAGCCCAGGAGTTCAGGACTGTATGGGGAACAAGGCAAGAATCTGTTGCTTTAGAATGAACAGAAAAGAAGGCAGGTTTTTCAATATATCGTGTAGCTACTGGATCAACCTTCTCCTAAAGCTGACTTTTTTGTGGGGTGTCATAATTTGGGGTTTTTTGCAAAGGGAACAATATAATACAGAACACATATTTTATAAGATTATTTATAATAGTCACCCAAAGAATCATATACAAGAGAGTGCAGGAAATCTGTCCACACACTAAAGAATAAAGAATCCAGCTGAGGTTCTGGATCCCATGACAGTGTCCTGCATGAGTCCAGCTGAAGACCTAGAGCCCATAAAATGCTTCCCACAAATCCAACTGGAGGCCCAGAGCCCATGACAACATCTCATGCAGGCCTGTTTCGTGGATCTGCACTGGGAGGCCCAAAGGTCAGCGGTAGAATCTAGAAATTTTGTGTCACTGGGATGAAGGATCTGTGCTAGCAGGCTGAGAGATCTACACTGGAGCCAGGAAGCAACGCTCAAAATAAGAATCAGAACTCCCCTGAAAAGTACCACAGCCATCCGCATCAACAGTGACGTCCTGAGCTCCTCTGATGATCAGGACAGCCAAGTTCCCACCAGGAAAGCCAACATGACAAGCTTCTCCAGGACAGTGAGTAGTGCAACATCTTCCCCTCCAGAGCAAGGAAACAATGTCAGAGTGAGGACCAGAGCCCTTGCAAAGTGAACTGAAGCCATTCTCAGCACCAACAAGGTCCTGAGCTCCTTGGAGGATGAAAACAGCCAAGTTCATCAGGAAAGCCAGCATGACAAGCTCCTCTAAGAGAACCAACAGCTCCTTACAGCTTCTCTCCACTTCCAACAGGCTCCCAACAGCTTCTACAAGCTCCTACCAGCCTAACTTCTTCTTCTCCAGTTCTGCCTCTTATGCTGCTGGCAACAATCCTCAGGTGGGCCTCCCACACCCCCAGCACCACACTTACTCAGTTCAGCTGGGGATTATAAGTTGACCACCAGTTGTCAATCTACTACATGGGGCTTTCCAGTTACATGCACTGATAAATTCACTGTATTTTTTTAAGCTAGCGTGAGTTGGTGGTTTTGCTATTTGCAACTGAAAGCATCCTAGCTGACAGAGTATTCATTTGCAATGAAAGCAGTCTAAGCGGAAGTATATTGACAGTGCACCTGGCTTGCACTACAATGGAGCCATTAACTGCATAAAGCCTGAGGGGTTTTTAAAATATTATTTAACATTTATTGGGTCTCTACTATGTGCCAGGTATCTGACATAAATGATCACTCATCTATGCAACAGTATTAAATAAACAAATTATTAGCCCAGTTATACTGTGTATACATAGTAACATTCAGTAATCTTGTAGAGACTACTGTAGTCAATATGAATATATAGTTCACTGTGGCATATTTGGCCACGCTGATCATTTCTTCCTCTTTAAGAGTGGATATAATGAAGGCAACACATGTCCTAGACACTGAATCCAGCTCGCTGTCCATCTTAGCAAATTAGACAGCAAATCAGACTGCAAATCAGACTGCCTTCCCAGTATCTGTTCTACTACTCAGCCAAGTGTTTGAATTTCCCTTTCATTCAAATGTTGGACTTTACCCTCCAAAGGACTCCAGGTACTTGTCGGTGGGTGGCGCTATGGTGGATCCAAACAGGAGCCCTCTGACATCCCAGTCACACTGGGTGCCAGGCCCTGTCTGCATCTAGGAATAGCCACACTGAAACATTTGCACTTCATATGGAAGCTGAGGCAGATCATGTTAATTTTTTGATGTGTAACTCAGTATAAGCAAATGTGACTCCAAATGCAAAGTTCCTCTGACTCTATGCTATTTAGAAGTGAACCCATTCTGGTAAGTGTTTTTAAATATTTCAAAATACAAGTGGAAAAAAAAGCCAGACACATAAGATAATTTTTTCTTCTTTTGACCAAATTGCTTATGCCACTTTATTTGGGTAAATCATCACTATTTCACAGTCATCAAATGATGTAATGCCAGTGAACGTGGAATGTAGAACAATGTATGAACTTCAATCACTGATATTTGTTTGAATACTAATAATATTTGGTCTTCTCTAATAAGCCAGGCTCTATATATAAACCACCAGAATTTGGTTTATTGGAAAGCTGGTTTATTGGAAAACTATTTACTATACCCATGGTCCACTTACAAGCTTCACTAGTAGCCAGTAAAAAAAAAGCATCAGAGAACTTTCTCCATCTAGGAAATAGGTTTCTCTCAATAAGAGTAAAAGCAACTTGAATAGAGACAATTTTTAAAATACACTTTCTATGTATAACAAGAAACAGAGCATTGTTATATGTTCAAAAGGACAGATGACAAGCCACAGACTGAGACAGAATATTGACAAAAGATATACCTGATAAAGGACCACTATCTAAAATATACAAAGTACTCTTAAAACTCAACAATAAAAATTTCTGCAACCCAACTGAAAATGGGCAAAAGATCTGAGCAGATGCCTCATCAAAGAAGATACGTAGATGACAAAAAGAAAAGCGTACAAGGAGATGTTCAATAGCAAATGCCATTAGGGAATGCAAATTAAAACAACAGCAAGATACCACCACACACCTATCAGGCTGGTGAAAATCCAAAAGCCTGACAATGGCAAATGCAGATGAGGTATAGGGGGATAGGAACTCTCATCCATTGCTGGTGGGAATGCAAAATGGTTCAGCCACTTTGGAAGACAGTTTGGCAGTTTCTCAGGAAACTAAATATAGTTTTACCAAATGATCCAGTAACTGTGTTCCTCGGTATTTACCCAAAATTGTTGAAAAGTTATGTCAACAACAAAAACCTACACACGGATGTTTATAGCAGCTTTATTCATAATTGCCAAAATTTGGAAGCAACCAAGATGTCCTTAATGAGAAGATGGGACCAAAATAAAATCAACAACAAAAGGACTGTGGTATATCCACACAAGGGAGTATTACACAGCACTAAAAAGAAAGGAGCTGTGAAGCCTTGGAAAGACAAGGAAGAACCTTAAATGGATATTTTACTAAGTGGAAGAGCTCGTCCACAAAAGCTGCATCCCATGTAACTCCAACTATGTCACATTCTGGCAAGGTACAACCATGGAGATAGTAAGAAAAAGGTGTGGTGTACCGGGAGCTGGGGAGGGGGTGAATAAGTGGAGCAGGTAAGAGACTTTAGGGCAGAGTATCTACTCTGGAAGATACTATAATGTGGGATATGTGTCATCATACATTGTCCAAGCCACAGAATATACAACAGCAAGGTTGAACCTGTTGTAAACTATGGACGCTGGGAGGCAACGATGTGTCAGTGTAGTTCGTCGCTTGTGACCAAAGTGTCACTTTGGTGAGGATGTTGGTAGCAGGGGAGATTGGCGCACGTGAGGGACAAGGGCTGATGGAAACTCTCTGTACTCTCTGCTTAGTGCTGCTGGAAACCTAAAATCGCTCTAAACAATAATGTCTAATAAAAATATTATCTGTTCAATACATTCAATGCAGTTAACATATTAAATGAACTACTTTACTGTGCAGTGATAAATTGTACATGTGGCAGTTCTTAAGCCTCTACACATTTAGGTAAATAGTTATTAGTCAAAGACCTTAAAAAATGACATGCAATTCTGCTCTGCCCATAGAAAAACACCAGGGTTTCTTTTCCATGCCCAGGTCAAGTAATCAACCTCAACTATATCAGTTTTGGCAGGTCACAGCGAAGGCTCAACCAAAGCCAACTCCAAACAGAGACGTGGCCGTGTGCCTCCCTTATCCTGGGGTTGAGGGGCCAGTCACAGAGGCTCTGAAAACCAGGAAGCCATATGTCTCTGCTGGACACAGTCATAGAAATAGACACAAGGGAGCTTCTGTAACCCTGGAAACAAAGCGAGACAAATCATTTCAGCGAAAAAGGCAGATTCGAAACAGCCCAAATGCTACCAAACATCGCAGCCCCACATGTGGTGTTCACAGTGCACACACGACTCATGGGAAGCACGGCTGGAAAGAGCCAGTGATCAGTGCCTCTGGCCTGAAATTCAAGCACTGAGTGTGGGGGAATGTGTCTCATGCAAATTATTTCTCTTCTGAAGCTCAGAAAGGTATCTCATCGCCAGCCAAAAGCTCCATGCAACTACCGTCAGCTAAAAGCCTAACTGAAAACCCGTAGGGAAAGTCATTTGACTGGGCCTAGGAGCTCTGAAGATGCTCTTGAAACTCAACATGAAAGCTGTGCTCCAATAGCCCTGCAGTTTGGAGGTTTGCATTTTAAAAGAAACTGAACATATAGCCCAGATCCCTGTCTGAAGCTCTATCAAGACTAAACTTGCGATCTTGGCTTCTCTGGAAGGACCTTGAAAGGCATTCAGTCCAACCTTCTGCCCAGTGCAGAAATCTCTTCTAAAACATATGTGATAAACAGGCAAACTGCTTAGAGAGCATTTGCTGTTTTCCAGAACTGCCCACTCCACATTGAATTGGCCTGTGAAGATATTTTTGCTTATTATTAGCAAAATCTGGCTCCATTTAAGTCTCAAACCCTGGACCACACCCTCCCTCTGGAAAGAGAGAATAAGAATGGCCCCTCTTCTTGGCTCTAGCCCTTACCTGCCATGTGACCTTCAGCAAGTTCCTGTGCTCCTCTGCCTCCGCTGTACCTGCTGCAATGGCAAGGACAACAGCACTTACCTCCACGGGCAAAGGTGAGAATGACATCTCAGCACTCTGCCTGGCTTCTGATGGGCACTGCTCATAATCAGCTAGTATTATAAGTAGCTGTTGCCCACAACAACCCTCCTGGTAACTGTAGAATGGCGATCCCTTTACTAGGCTCTCAAGGCAGACGGACATGCTCAGGCTACCTTAGGTCAGTGCCTGTCAACCTTTCTGTGGACATTGAGAATTTAGGGCTACACACGTGAGGGTTCAGATAGCAGTTGCTGTTACCCCGGGATTCATCTGGTCCCTTCTGCAGCATCACTGTGTGTGTCTCTACTTCTCTCAAACTCAGAAGGTCCCTCTTCTTTGGCACCAGCTTGCATCAGGTTCCACCCTGGACCCCTGACTTCTGACCTGCAGCAGGCTGGATCCGGTTCTGCCCCGACTGCATGGTGCTCAGGTTACCAATCTAGCTTTCCGGAATTTCACAACAAAAGCCACGCTTAAAAAAATGTTTTGCATATTGCCAACCTTTGGTGGCACACTTGGGGAGTGTTGGAGGCTGTAGAGTAAACCACATCTCGATTGAGAAGCGCTGCTGTAAGAAATGGTTTATTTGAGACTACTGTGGAAAACACAGGAGCCCAGAATCTGAACCTCTGAGCCAAGCCTCATGGAGACAGAATACAGTCCAGGAACTGGAAGGTTGCTTAGGAGACCAGGCGGCTCTAACAACTGGGTTATATCAGTAAATAAAATTGCCATCTGTTGAGCTCTTAATATGGGCCAGGCACTATGCCAAGCATTTTACAAGTGTTAGCTATCTTCTTTTTAAACCTGTTTAAAGTGTAGAATGAAATACTCTTGGATTAAAGGGTTCAAAACAAATGTACAGTATAATGAACAATCATGAAGCAAGAGCTTGTATAACTATCCCCCTCGTAGGTCAATAAATAGACCAACCCCTACCTCGGCAGACCCTTGCTCAGCGGGAAGGACATGCTGTAAAATAAAAACTGTATTATATAACCTATAGTTTAGTTTTGCATATGTTTGAATTCCAAAGTAAAATCATATGCCATGTATTATTTCTTGTGCTCAACACTGTATTTATACAATTTCTTTATCCTCCTAGAGAGGCACACTCAAGAATAGAAATGTTAGGCTGTGGCATGTGCCTGATTTCTGCTTTATCAGAAAAGGCCAAAATGTTGTCCAAATAGTTACACTCATCTCTACCTCACTGGCAGCACAGAGATGTCCTGTTGCTCCATTTCTTCACCATCAATTCATATTGTCAGATTTTTCAAGTGTTGCAAACCTGATGAGCATGTATTTTATTGCAGCGTGAACTTTTGGACTTCAATGCACCGAACTGTGTTGCGTGCACACATCTCTGTTTTGCTTCTTTTGCTCAGCACTGCAGCTGAAGCATTCATCCACGTGGCCACGTGTGGAATCTCACTCCTTTATTAATCAGCTTGATCATATTTTCTGTTCTGTTCACCCTATTAATGTCCTCTTTTGTTAATGATTCAATTTATTTTTTGCCTGTTTTTCTATTGCTTGGCTGCCTTTCTTTTCTACTGATTTATAGGAGACTTTTTTCTTTTTTCAACATTTAATTCTGGATACCAGGCCTCTAGTGGTTGGGTTTTTTTTTTTTTTTTTTTTTTTTTTTAATCAGGAATCAAACTCAGGACCTTGAGTTTGCCAGGCAGAGGCTGCGCTGCTGAACTACCTCCCCAGCCCTAGCGGCTGGTTTTGTGTTGCAAATATTTTCTTCATTCTCATGTACATCTCTTTGATTCTCATAATGACCCCAAGAAATAAATATTATAAATATTGTGATGTCCATGACAAGCACAGTCTTGGAGATGCTCAATGACTTGTTCAAGGTCACCCAGCTAGCTGACGGTGTCAGAGCCGAGAAAGCAAACTCAGATCTGCCCGGCTTGAAAGGCTGGCTCACTCACGGACAGGCACAGCCACCATCTTCACCGTGCTGAAGTCCTCTGGCCCGCAGCTCCTGCACCAGCATCTCGCCCTGCCCTCTTCCTACCTCCGGGCTGTGGCCCCCTCCCGACACCCACGTCCTGCCTCACTGTGGCAGCCTTTCTGGGGACCAAATGTCGTCACTCGAGATCCCCTGAAAACTGCACAAAAGAGGTCTCATCAGCTCCACCTGGCCCTGTGCCTTCTTCCCGGGCTGGCGCGTATCACAGACCCCACCACAGCCATGGCCAGGCGCTCTCCCAGTCCGTCGCTGTGGCTGGGCTGGTGAATGCCCCAGCAGCCTGCCTTGGGTGGGCTGTGGGCATGAGGGACAGGCGCTCATGGCTCCTCTTCAGTGGGGCTGTCCTCCATGGCTCCACCTTCCAGGAAAACCCTCGCCTGCTCTCTGACATCCCCTCATCCCATAACAATTCCCATCCCATCTGTTGACCAGTTGGCCCCTCTTCTCACTCCCACCCAAGCCCACTCCTATCTGTCTGTGGCCTGAATAATTCTCCCATCGACCTTCCCACCCAGTCCTGGTCACCGGTACCCTCCCCCGGACTCCCGACATAGCTACCACGTGTTATCCGCCCGTCCTCCTCTCCCCAGTCCGTTCCCTGCACAGCAGCCAGAGGGGTCTATGCAAAGTGCCAACCCACCCATGTCAGTGTGAGTTTCCCCTGGCTTCTCTCTTCCCCTGGAATAAAAGCCAAAACCCGTAAGATGAACCACAGGCCTTGTCTCCCTCTTCATTCTCCCCTGCTCTCTGCTCCAGAGCGCTTGCCAGGCCGATGGCAAGGCAGGGCTCTCTCTCCCTCTGGACTTGGCCCTCACCGTGGGCACTACCCAGAAGCCTGGTCACCCTGCCCACACCTGCACAGCAACTGCAGAGCTCAGCTGCCCCGACTTCATTAACTAGGTCTCTGCAGAATTCCCTGCCCACTCCCGCTTAATTGTTATCGCCACTGTAGGTCCAAAACGGCTCACTTAAATGACAGCAAGATACGATGGTCTGCTGCCTATCAGACAGGCAAAGACTAAAATAACTGATAACACCCAGTGCTGTTGAGGCTGCAAGGAAACACGCTCTTTTATACTCTCATTCAAGTTCAACCTGAATGGTAAGAGATACAGCAGTGTCTATGATTTAACTTACTTATTCATACTCTTTGACACACTTGTTTTTTTTAAGACGTCTTGCAGTGTAGTCCAGGCTGGTCTTCAACTCACAGTGGAGCCCCACTGGCCTTGAACTCATGGTGATCCTCCTGCCTCCGCCTCCTGAGGACTGGGATTACAGGTGTGCACCACCATGCCAGGCTGACACACCATTTCTACTTTGATGAATTGGTCCTTTACACTCCCACAAGCTATGTAAAAAATATATATGTAGAATAATCTCTTTGCAACATGGTTTATATTGTGAAAACTGGAATATTATTCAGCTATTAAAAAGAAGGAAGTAGATTTCTTTGTGTTCATGTAAGATAATCAAGATATATTAAACTAAAAAAAGACATGAGTCCATTTTTGTGCTTTTTAAAAATATTAACTAAGTTTATTGGTACATTTAAGGTATATATAGCGAGCACATTCATTACAGGGAATTTGTACCTGCACATGATATATCTTCTTTTTTTATCCCCATCATTTTTGTGCTTTTAAAGCGCATATGTACTTTTGACCGTTGGAGAAACCAGCTACCACCTGCTGACGGTGCCTGTCTCTGGGAAGGTGGATAGGTTGCTGGGGCTTTTTTTTCTATATTTTCTAGGTCTTTCTTTTCTCTGTTATATATTTCTATAATGTTTAATTTTGCTATTTTATTACTCTAAAATAATTTTATCTTCTAAAAAAAAATCTAATACAGTAAAAAAGACATTACCCAATGAAGTCTGCCATGTCCATCCAGAAGAAGCTCTATGAGCTCAGCAAGTGTTTCTACCCCACTCACTCTTATCTCCTGAAGCCAGTCAGTGGCAGGGTCACTCATTCAACATTTATTAGTGTGTGGGCATTTGAGTGAATGAACTGCTCCTGTGAATGCATACAAGGTGGTGCCCACTCAGTACTTCAGAAACAGACCCCTGGCTACCTCTCCCCAACCTCGAAGTGTACCCCAAATGTTAAAGTATTTGTAAAAGTGCTTCACCTTTTTTAAGCTTCACACCATTTTTGCTGATGTTAAGCTCTGGGTTTGCCCAAGTACCACATTCAAGTTAGGTTTCCTTTCTGACTTAGACAAATCATTTTGTTGAATCCAAAGGCATATTTTTGTCCCAGCTGAATTGTATTTGGCAAGTTTTATGCAAATCTATTGAGGTATTTAAAAACCTAACCCCTGACTATAACCAAATATTATATAAGTCTTACCAGAAGCTCTATGTTACCCACAACAGTTGGTAAATAAGATTTCTTATTTACATCCAATTTAGTTACTGGAGATGGTCTAAGACAGACCTCTGAGCCTTCCATGGACACTTGCTTTCTACATGGATTTGGTGAAACTGCTTGTGTCAGTCAGCTTTCTGTTGCTGTGACAAAATACCTGAGACAAACAACTTAAAGGAGGAAAGGTTTATTTTGGCTTGTGGTCAAAGGTCACTGTTCATCCGGCCCCATTGTTTTTGGGTTTGTGGTGAAGCAGGAACATCATGATAGAAGGGCCTGGTGAAGGAGGGCTCTCACCTCACAGAGGCCAAGAAACAGGGGCGGGGAGAGACTGTGCAGGTGGGCCTCTGCCTTCTCCCCCTTTTGTTCCATCTGGTCCCCTAGCCAATATTATTAGATGGTATTACCCACATTCAGGGTGGTCTCCCTGCTCAGTTTACTGTCCCACATGCCAAAAGTCTCTGGATACACCTGACCAACATACCCAGACTGTGCTTTCTTAATTTCCCAGGCACTTCTCAAATCAATCTGGTTGACAATTAAAGTGACCCATCACATTGGGCCTTCTACTTCTACATCTCAAGCACATTTATTCCCACCCCAGGGCCTTTAC